AGCACTTTTAATACTGGAAACATAGGTTATTGTAATCTCTTTAATCACTAAACAGTGAACTGTGATAAAAACTAAATTACAAGCCGTGAGATGGCCTCAATATTGCATTTAATTTCCCCATTCACTGTTTAGTGATAATGTCCATTTGTCTTTCAATATTAAGTCAAGGATTCATGAAAACTCATTACCAATTGTCCTTCCCCCCCCACACATTTTGCAAAAAGTAGAGATTTCAACAGAAATTGTCACTTTTATGAATTCACCTTGTTACACCCCCCATGCTTTCAATCTGACAACAGGTCCTGTTACTTCCTGGTTTGGTTAGCTCAGTGGAACTAAGCTCAATATGCAGCAGAGCACCTGCCTTGCAAAGACATCTCATTGAGCTGCATTGGAAAATCTGTGATTGGACAGCCACAAAAAGTCTGGGCTGGGTTAGAAGGGCTTGCAAAGGCTGCAGACAAGAGAACTGCAGCTTTCTCAAACTGTTTTTTTTTTTTTTAAATGCCTGGCAATGTATAATTAAATGCTGGATATATCTGCTAAACAGTGATTGTTATTTGGGCACTCCAATGAACAAACACAGACACAAACACACACAACGCTCCACAGTTCACATTTTAGTAAATAGCCCCCTTTGTGTCCAATATATAAAATAAACATAGGTTATTGATGTTTACTTTAGTCTAGGTTGAGTGTAAACTGTCTGCAAACAGACTGAACTCACCTAATATGATGCACAATCTCTGCCACATGATTAGATACAGGGAAACGAAGGTAAGACCATATCTTGGATCTCGGGCTGGACAAAAGAATGTGCAAGGGAGCTGTTGGAGTGATTTGCTCCCGATATTGGTGCAGACCACAATGCCTCACCCACCGGAGTACCAGGGATCCTGGGCCACAGTGTGACTGCCCTGGACCATTGGGTCCAAAGAATGACCTCCACTTGACCACCAGGAACTACAACCCTCCTACCAAATGACTGGCAGGAGGGGGCTAAATAAAAGATTGCACACATACCCTAAGACACTACACACACAACACTCAGGCTGCTACACACACACACACTCAACCACCCCAACATACAGCTCTCACAGGCACAGAGCCCAGGGCTATAAGAGAACTGACAACAGCCCGAGTATCTTGTCCTTTGGTGGGTCCCCACTCAGATCTTAAGCTAGGTTTTGCTCATCTTGTGCCATTACATAGAAAACCAGGCCATTTGCATACCAGACTGATCCCACCCAAGTCTGATTTTAGTTCCATGCACCAGATCACCAAACACCGCTGCCTGCATTCTTGTGAACAAGATGGCCACCAACACGTCTTCGGGTATATGAACGGCAGCCACCCAAACGAACACTTAGAACACTGCTCGCAGAATCGTTACAAGGTGTCAATAATGTTTAACAAGCTCCCGGGTGGTCGTCAGTTCGTGGATCTGTTCGGTTCCCGAACAGCACAGGGAACCCAAACAAACTGAGTCTTTTAAAATGTATTTTACAGTTCTTTTTGCAGCGCCCATAGTCCTGGGGCAAGAGGCTGGTAAGCAGGCTCCTCCAGGAGCCCGTGGCAAGGCTACGTTCGCCACAATGAGCATCCTGGGTATACTGCAAATCCCTAGGTTTGCCAGATTATTACTGTAGAAAGAAAATAGCTGAAGTACAGTTCCCAGAAAAACAAGCAATGACATCCCTTATAGCAACTGTACTTAACACAAAGAGATTTTTTTTGTTTGTTTTTTTATAAAAAAAATAAAATAATTAAGATTAATTAAGTTAACCACTTAGGATAATTAAAAGGACTAAATTTGCACATTTAACAGAACATTTATGGGTGCCTGAAGTGTCCTTTAAAAGAACACTCCTAGCATAATCACTGCAGCCGGCTGTATGCGCGGACAACTTACCTGGGGTCTGACAAGCCCTGGTTACAGACTCACCTAATGTAAAAAAACACGAACTGAAATGAGATTATAAATTAAATAATAATACAAACCAATTATATTGAATAAAAAACATTTTTGTAGTGGTAGTCTACTCAAAATCGGGAAAGAAAAAAACAACATTAAAAATGGATTTATTTTTAGCTTGTGGTTCCTGGCAAAATATTATTACATCTATAAACATTTTATGAATAGCTCAACCAATATAAATTGCAGAATTATTTATGGGGGAAACGGTCGACTAAGCTCTAAAACACAACAGTCAAGATTATTTTCGCTTCTAAATTTGCAAAGCAAATTGCAAATATAACACTGGATATTTCTAAACATTACATTTATATATTCATTAAATTACTGGAAATATGTGTTGCAACCAGAATAAAATTTAGTTGATGAAATAACTAAAATAAAATAGGCGGTATACTTATTTAGAACATTTTGATTTGCTCTGTGATTTTCGTACTCACTGCAGTTAATACCTTGGTCTTTCTATACAGGGATTGCTATATAGCCTACATTTTAAAGCTTTGAGCTGTTTGGTACTAAAATAGAAAGAATATCTTGATTACTGAGAAGAATTGTGTGGCACCATCTAGTGTCTAAATAGTGCAGTACAAATACCAAATAATCACTGAGATATCTGTTGAGAAGTGGTTTTAAAAGTATTTCTGATACATAAAGCAGTTGACAAAAGTTTCGATTTCAATACAAAGTAACATACATGCATGTTTTTTGGGGGGTTATATCTACTTAGTTTACTACAGGGGTACCCAAGAGGTAGATCTCCAGATGTTTTAGAACTACATCTCCCATGATGCTTTGCATGCCTTTAGAATAACGAAGCATCATGGAAGCTGTAGTATTAAAACATCTGGGGATCTACCTTTTGGGCACCCCTGATTTAGTAAATTTTACTAGATACGGAAAACATGGACTGTTCCTTTAACCTCTTCTGCACAAAGTCAGTAGTCATGTTATCAAGGACTTTGCTTAGCTTCTTGCCTCCAAGGGGTTAACACTGGTACAGTTAAAAGTGCAAATCACTCACAAAGAGTCGACGAGAGACAAAACCTGTCCCTTAAGAACGCAGAAATGACAGGGAACTTAACTTAGCGTTCAAGGAAGACATAATGCTAATACCATGTTGATACGTATGTAAGCAATTTCCAATATGCAACAGTACCCTGCGTTGGTACGGACATTAAACTTGAAAGTACTATTAAGTCTTGAACAACCCCCACCCACCCCCCCCTTTTTTATTTTCTGTACCCCTCTCCCCTCCCTCCTAATTTCAAGGAGAAAACCCTACAAATAAAGAATTTAAAAAAAAAAAAGTGCAAATCATCCACATACTTAATGGACAAACTCACAGCCCAAATAAGAAACACGGAAAAAACATTCCATAAAGTCTTGCAACCCTGGGAGGAATACATAGGCGACTGAGACTTACAGCACTTGACGAGAGCAAGGGACAAGGCCCGCCGCGCGCCTCCTCCCCACCCCCCGGGGGAACTCTGCGAGGCCCTACCTCCCCCCCCTCCTTTTTTTTTTTCTTCTTTCTCTTTCCTCCTGCCTCCCCAACCTTCACTATGCAACACCACAACCAAGCAGACACCAGAAACCACCTCCTACAGGAAAGATGTAGTCTCTCTACAACACGACAGAGGGTGAGACCCCAGAAACAGGTTCAAACAGAAAGGGGATGCCCTGCTGACGGGGATGCAGCCCCAGCAATACCCCACAAAGACCACGGGGTCTCTTCACACGCTACACCACCACACCCGAGAAAGGCCCCACGGGGACAAGAACCGGGGCCAGGGCCCTCTTCCCATACACGTTATATACAATGTCCATCTGCCCATAAGGACACCACACCGGCTGGGGTACAGACATTCACCTTCACAACAATAATCTGCATCTTTTTGCTAAAAAACCATGCTGACCACAACCATACTCTACTAATGGATATAAAAAGCAAAGACACGATTTATTATGCTTTAATACCCTTGTTAACTTTTCACTGTTTGTATAAAACGTAAAATTTGACAATGCACTGTACAACTACTGTAAGGCAGAACAAAGTACCACAAGCTTTTGTATGCACTGAGTACTGAGAACACTGTAATGCTGTTATCTTTGTCAAAGCAAAAAAAAAGAAATAAAAAAAAAAAAAAAAAAAAG